GTAGTTTTTATCTTTAAAAGACAAGGAATTAGGTTTTGCTAAAACTTCAGACGTAGATTGACGTAAGCCCCGCACTCGGTCAGCACATCCGGAGGCCCGGTGTCCGGCTAGCACACAAGCAGTGCTGGGGGGGCAGTGTTGTTGGATACTGTGGGGGGAGGTGTTTAGTTCCTTTCAGGGTACTGAGATCTTTTGTTTTTCAGCATACTGTGGGTTTTTTTTTTTCATATTCCCAGGCACATGGCTTTATCTATTACAGTATGTAGTTTTTTACTGAACCAACCGTCTTAAAATGGTTAAGTGGCTTAAAAAGATTCTTGCTAAGAAATAGCAACACAAAGATAATTCTAATAGTACAAGCACAAGCGAGCAACAGTAGCTGACACTTCTGCTGCTCGTAAAAGCTATTCATTGCCATGTGACAAGGGGGAAAAAACAGTAAGATCTGACAAGAAGCAAGCCCCCAAATTTGAAATTATTGCAAAGCTATTTTGTAGCAGGAATCTATGTTCATCATAGTAATGATGACCCTCACTCTTCATATCCACAATGACAGGTGTGAAGCCATCCTGGTTAGCAGAAGCTACAGATCCAAAAGATGAAGACAAACCCTCAACAATATTTTCAGTGACAGTTAATATCGTGAATTACTAACTCTAATATATTTTTAACAATGTTCACTAAATGTAATCACAAGGGTTGATGTCTTTTAAGTTTTCTTCCTTAAAAGCAAAAAACAAGAAGTAGCATATTCTGCAAAAAACACTTGTCCTTTCTGCCATGGAAACTGGATGAAGTATTCACCAAACGATTTAGAGGGGACAAAATCTGGGCACATCTTTTTTTTGTCAAGAAGTGCTATTGGATACCATGCAGAAAGCACTGCAGACAGTCTAAAGAAAAAAGTACAGGAATACATTTTTCAGGATGGGAAGTCGGGTAAGAGGAGAGATATTTCCAACATGTCCCAGCTTACAGTATTGTTACAAGAATAAAGATATTCAGTAGAGATAGTAAAGATATTAAGGTAGAGATCCTATGTGTCAAAATTAATTGACTTTTTTTAAATCAGTGTTTTATGGACAAACTATTTAAGTTTAACCCCTGATGAAATGGCTATATTGGAGGGTTTTTTTTTAAAGGAGGGAGGTGGATGGATTCCACATTAACAGATTCAGCAACCCATACATAATTTACAGACCAGAAACACACTACATGGTGAAGGTAGCACTTGATTTTATCAATTTAAGACCTTTAAGATATAGAACATTTATAATACTCTGTGATGTGATAGGAAGTATCAATGAAAGTTATTTTGATTCACCTAAATTTCTCTGATTTGTCTCAAAGTAAAATACTTTGTAAAAAAATTGTTAAGCTTTAAGATGAATTTTGCACATATTTTTTTACACAGTGTTCCAAACTTTCCGGTTTTTCTATAATTATAAATGGCCACCAGTAAATTGCTTCCTAAGCAAATACCTGCCCCCACCCAAATACATCTAATTTGAATCTTTAGGGTGAAAGTCATGTTTCATCAATGAGACAGAAGGGAACACCTTTTAAAAAGAGACATGGTACAGAGAGGGCGTACTGAAGATATTTATTTGGAAATATTTTCATCATTATATGATTATGTTGCCCAAAACTATGCATGGCACCTGTAAACACTGTCATGTGTAAACAACTGAAAAACTTGGAAGCAGAATTTTTCTAACTAGGTTTAAAATCTTTCAAGGAATTTCAATAAGTTTTGAACCCATTTGCTAACAAATGTGTAGTAGCATCTTCTGGTTAATATGCAAGAATGATCCACATCAAGAAAACGGGTATTTACCAATCCAATTTCAATTAAAAAAAAGAAACTTTGCAAAACTGATAGATAGCACTGAAAATTTCAGTAAGTACAGTCCTGCTTCCACATGGATCTGCTTATTGCTGAAGGGTCTCTTTTTCAGCTATAAAAGCCCTTGAAACCAAATACTGAAATAAACTGAAATTAGAACCAGACTTCTGAATTATCCAAAAAGACTTAAAATAAGGTTTTAAAAAATAGTAAATTTCCAAAAAGTTTCCATCATGTTGCTCTCCTTTTCCAAAATTAGGTACCTTATATTATAAATTATACGTAATATATGTTTCACTAATCTCATCTTTTTCTTTTATGTGTATGTTTCCTAATGTGCATAGGATATTATTTTTAAAAAGAAGTTTGCCACTAATTTTTAAGCATATAAATAAACACATTTTGGGGGCAGGGGCTCGCAGGGATTAGAGATCACCCTTAAAGAGCAGGAGGCCTAAGAGCATCAGGAGGAAAGGTGACCACAAAGATGCAAAAAAGAAAAGCACTAACAAGGCCCAAGAGCACAGATGATGTGACACACACATACAGGCTGGCCATGGAGGGCAATGCAACTGCAGTAATAGGAAATGTGTTCCAGAATAATCCAACCCTGGGACAACGCTGAAAGGACAGAGTCTCAGCAGCAAATAGCAGCCAACATAAAAACCGGCAAATGCACCACAGACAGGCAACAAGCACGCTGGTTTATTCCTTCATCAAGAATTTATTGGCTATTTATTTTGTGGTAAGGATGGTGGTAGGTAGTGGTGTAAGCCAGAAAATCTGCCTTTGGGGAGAATTTCAATGATCTCTAAAAGAAAAAGAAAAAAAAAATCTGAGGCCAGGAACGAATAAGCTGCTGTATCAAGCCGGCCATGCCTAGACGTCTTTACCAGTCTCTTACTTAGTAGGACTCTGTGATTAGTGTACTGTTCTTACTGGTACCAGTTAGATAAGCTAAGGCAATACAGGTTACTTTCCGGTTAAATTAAGCACAGTTCTATAGAACAGGCAGCAATCACAGACATACATATATTTCCATTACTCAATACTAACAATTGTTTTGCTCAGATCAAGTTACTATTTCTCTTCTGCCTAGACTGTCCCCTGGCCTGAGACCTTCATCATTCCGGGTCCATGCTGGCTCTCCTTCTTGGTTCAAGGCCTTGTCCTCAGCCTCTAACTGTGCCCTGATCCGTTACAATGTCATCATCACCTGCATTGTCAGGGTTTTCTCCCCTTTCCAATACCCTCTGCACAGTGACCACTGCCCATTGCTGGACACTAGGGAACGGTCCTCTTTCCCGGTGACAGACCCTGCAGCCCTCTGACTTTCCTGAATCTCAGCACCCTAGGTCTTCTGGCCAGCTGATTCTATGTTCTGTCTGCACCTGAGGAGCTAGGAAGTGGTTTTTAAATGCTCTCCTTTCATAGAATAACAACAGAGACTGAGTTCTCAGTGCTAAAGTTTCCAACCTGCAGCAGTTCAGGAATTTTGTTTAACCATTTCAGACCAACAGTCATGTCAGCTTTATTAACATTCACCCTAACTTTATTAAGACTGAAGTAACCCTTATGATTTCTAACCAGTACAGTAATGTGATTTTACAGCTTGCAGAAATTGTTTCCCTCCCATTGCTCAATGTATATACTATTCTGTGAAAGTTCAATTTTAGCCCCATCTACCTTTTTTAAGTGTTTTTACTTTTGTGCATAAAACATCAAATCATATGCTATTATCCAAAGAATATGTATCCATGTTTCAAATGAAACATATATGAATGTATTCAACTAACTCATTCAAAAAAGTTCTCAAACACCCACTATAGGTCTAGGTGTCAAGCGAGTGTGAGAATATAAAGGTTACCCCTGCTCTCTGGAGCTCACAGTCTGATGAAGGGGTAGACATGACAACTAGTAATCGACATGTAGGACGATGTGATACGGAGGACGACGGCCAGAGCCATCTATAAACAAGTGAAGGAACACTAACTCTGCCTGGGAACAGAGGAAGACTTCACAGAAGAGGTGACACCGGAGCTGAGTCTTGGAGGATAAACAGGAGTTTTCCAGGTGAATAAAAGAGGAAAGGGCACTACAGCCAGAGAAAAAGCATGCTTACAAGGCACGAAGGGCAGAAGCAGCCTGCAGGGCCCAGGGAGCCAGAGGAATGTTTGCGTACGTGGTACAGTGGGAGAACATGGGGAGAGCAGAGGCTAGAAAAAGACAGGTAGGAGACCTTGCTTAAGGGGCTCAGTACACCAACAGAAGGCCTGTGATCGTCCCCCAGCAGGCCCTGCACAGACACTGAAAGACTCCAATCAGGGGTACCTCATGATCAGGTTCATGTTTTTTAAGATCACTTTGACTGCAGTTTGAGAAATAAATCAAACAGGAACAGACTGAAGGCAAGGGAAGCCAGGGATGAGGCTCTTGCCCAGTTTAGCTTAGAAATGCTGAGAGGCTAGACAAAAGGAACAACAGGACGAGGAGAGGAGAGAACTAATGTACGAGGCATTTCGGAAGCAGAATCAACAGGACCTGGTGACAGGCAGGGTGTGGGGTGCGGGTGAGAGAGCAGCATCCAGGAGGACTCCTGGGTCTCCGACTGTAACCAGATCTTCCCCTCACAAAATTACCGTTCCCTGGCTGTGATGCCATCTGCCAGTTTTCAGCCCAAATTTCATTTCCAAAGCAGACACCACCAATAAACAGAAATAATTTCTAAATTACAGGATATCAGATCTTAAACTCATACGTGGCTCGCACACAGAACAGCAGAGATAGGAAGAAATCAGCTGAATTAAAATATTTAAGTCATAAAAGGTTTTAGCCCATTAACCATCAAAAACTACAAAGTGTCAGACATAAAGTTCCAGGTTGAGGAAATGAAGCCACGATGAAACAGTTTAATATTCTTGGGGAACTCTGTACACAAAGCAAACACCAACGAATATTTAATAACTGCTGAGTCTCCATGTGCCTGCCAGACTGACCAGGGCCAAGACAGGGCTTAGTGAAAGTGTCCCCTCCCAGCGAGTTTACTTTCCTCTCACACTCTTGAGTTGGAGCATAGTTCCTCATGAATATTTAACATAAACTGCAAAGCAGGAAGAGCAACCTGTGACATTAATACAGGAAATTAAGCTGAAAATCATACGGTGATAGCCCCCATTTTAATCAATGTTCTATTACTCACACTGCTGTTGACTTTTAAAAATTGTTTCACAGTAGGTATCTTATAATTACATTAAGAACAACATGGCCTGTATTCACATTCATGTGCAATTTCCACTCATTTCTCACAAGAGAAAATACACGTATTCTGCTTTTCTCTGGTGCAAAACATTGATTATTTGGCTGCCGTCATCAGGACTTAAGGTGCTGAGGAGTCTTCGTAAAGGACTTCATCTACTTTCACGTCATTTTCATCCACTGGGACCTGGGGGCAAATCTGTTCTCTGAAAGCCAAGGCCAGGGTGTAGGGCTTCCCATCCTGGGACTGCAGACAGCGCTTCAGGTAGGTGTCGTAGTAGCCCTTGCCCCGCCCCAAACGGTTGCCATGGTTGTCAAACCCAAGACCCGGCATGAAGATGAGATCAAGTCCCCCTGTGGAGAAGAGGAACAAATTCACCAGGGTTAGTGGTTTCTGAAAGAGCCCGATCACTTGCAGATCTGGCTTTTGGTTTTTAATGGCATCTATTTTTCCTCTGATTTCTAAAGAAACACATGATCACTCTAGAAAATCCTAAAAGCATAGAGCCAAACGAAGAAAGAAAAATTACCCAGCAACTAGTTAAGTCCATTATCCATCCTTCCCACAGTTCTTTAATGCATATATGCACAAAGATGCCAGATGCCCAGGCCCGGTTCACAGAGCATCTCCGGGTAGGGCCTAAGAGTTCCTTTTGTTTCTTTCTTTTTTTAGGCATACAGATGATCCTACACACCTGCCAAGTTTGGGATTCAGTGTCCCAGGATAATGGCAACTGGAGGGGTGGGAGAGGGTCAGAAAGAAGCCAGAAAGGACGGAGCTATTCTGAGTCGGTGAGCAGGAAGAGGACCAGCTGTTAAGAGGACTCAGCTTACTCTCTTCATTTCCCCTCTTACTGGGGAGGGAAGGCCAGGTTGTCAAGCTTCCCTGGATTTACACGACAGCAAGCTCAGACCTATTCAGGGGCATTCCAAAGACACAAGATGGGGCCCCATATTGGTCCTCTGGCTGGAACTCTCCCAGGGAGCACAGGGACCAGAACTGGCCACAGCATCATCAGGATAGAGCAGGCTGCTTGGGCTCAAGGTGGAAGGCAGGGTCACAGGAGCGATAAAAACCTGCTACAGTGAAAGATGTGAAGGCAATAAAGGTCACGAGGATCTCTAGGGAGTTTTTGAGGCCCAGGGAATGGTCCCCAGCCCCTGGCAAGCAGCATGACACACCTGCACTCCTCAAGAGCCACATCACATATCCAAACCAGCGGGCTGCCCTGTAGCCTTCTGTACTGAGCCTTGGCCTCCTGAGGGCTGTCCTGGGGGCTTCTGGGTGATCTACAGCTTAGCACGGACTAACCACTCGTGCGGCATTGCTGGCAAGGACACACCAGGGTTGGAAGCCATGGATTCCCTGGAACAGGGTGTTCAGAGAGAGACATTCAGACCGCCAGCTAGGCTGGCGCCCCGCTATCAGCAGCTGTTCTGACTACCTGCAGTACCACGAGGTGAACTCAGCTGCTTCTTTCCAGCTCCCAGCATACACCTGTCAACCGCTGCCTGCCAAAATCTAGCAGAGCACATCTCAGATTACAGTCATGACCTTCTCGTGGGAACCTGCTTGTCTATTCCAACCCCAACTTGCTAAAAGGTGCTGGTCATAGACCTTCATCCTTCCTCTGTCCTTGCCCTGCTCATCTCTCTCTCTTGGGAATGATGGTGGCTTAATCTTACTTTGCTGTTTCCTCCAAGTCCTCTTGCTGCTGCCAGAGCACTCTCAGGCTTAAAGTTCTGCTCTGGTGCTATACCTAGGACACGCACACACACACACTTTTCCTAGGCTTCTTGCCTCTTCACAGTGCAGCAGACGTGCTTCGTAAAGTCCTCTGGGGGATACACAGATACGCCCCTGGCCTTCCGGAGATGGAGTTTAGTTAACACAAAATATGTACACACACTGTCACATCCATTCCAATGCAAGGCAGCAGTGTCTGCCAACTGCCCAAAAAGCAACAGAGACAAGAGTCCTACAGACCTCAGCAGAGGGAGAGCCAAATGACTGGTGGTCAGGGAAGGGTCCATGGGGAACTCTGACTTGACCCAGGGTCTTAAGGATGGGTCAGAGTTGGGTCTGGATATATTTCAGATACCAAGGGAAGGGTGTCAGGAGCAGAGTGATGAGGAGGTAACAGGGCAGAAGGATCAGGCTGAGGAGTAGCAGAAGACATGTGGAGTTCGTCAGGTAAGAGTATGGAGATTTGGGAGTTAAAATCAAAGAGACCCCTACAACCCAATGAAAAATAAACTAATAACTCAATTAAAAATGGATGAAAGACTTGAACAGAAATTTCTTCAAAGAAGACCAAAAAGTGACCAACAGGCATATAGGGAAAGATGTTCAATATCATTATCATCAGAGAAATGCAACTCACCACCTCAATGAGCTATTACCTCACACCTGTCAAAATGACCACTATTTAAAAGAAAAAAAAATGGAAAATAGTAAATGTTAGTGAGGATGTGGAGTAGTTGAAACCTTTGTGCACTGTTGCTGGGGATATAAAAAGGGATAGCTGCCATGGAAAACACTATGAAGGCTCCTTGAAAAAATTAAAAATAGATCTACCATGAGATCTAGCAATCCTGCTTCTGAATATTTACCCAAAAGAATTGAAGGCAAGGCCTCAAAGAGATACTTGTACACCCACGTTCACAGCAGCATTATTCACAATAGCCAAGAGGTGTTAACAACCTAAATGTCCATCAACAAATGAATGTATAAACAAAATGTAGTGCATACAATGAAATATTATTCAACCACAAAAAAGAAGGAAAATCAGTCATACACTACAGTGCAGAAGAACCTTGAGGACATTAGGTTGAGCAAAATAAGCCAGCGGCAGAAGGACAAATACTGCATGAGTCCACTTACAGGAGGTATCTAAAGAGCCAAACTCGTAGGAGCAGGAAATTGAGTGCTGGCTGCCAGGGGTTGGGGGAAGGAGGAAATGGAGAGTTGCTGTTCAATGTGCACGAGATTCAGTCCCGCAAGATGAAAAAGTTCTAGAGGTCTGCTGTGTAACACTGTGCTTATAGTTAACACTACTGTATCATATACTTAAAATTTTGTTAAGAGGGTAGATGTCATGTTATGTGTCATTTACCATAATAAAAAAAAAGGCAAAGATACCAAAAGAAAGGCTGGGAAAATAGTCAGGGTTTCCACCAGAGTCAATACACAAGAAAGAGAAGGTAGAATTTCAGAGCAGCCACCTGTGGGCAGTTGGCAGAAGAGGATAAAGGAAGGAAACAGAAAGGTACAAAAATAATGTTCTCAAATCCCTCAAGTTAGCATTAATCGTGCTCACTCTGTTCTTGCTCCTCTCTGCACTTGATGACTATAACTGTCACTAAAGTCCACCTTGTACTATAGCTATTTGTACACGTCTCTGTCTGCCCTACCAGAGAGAAAATCTCCCTGAGGACCATAATTTTTTCCAAGTCATTCTCCATGCTTGAATTCTAATAGAATTCTCGGCCAAAGGAACCCTGAAAGACGAGTGTATTATCCACAGAATGGATCAATCCTAGCACGACATCCCCTACTTTAGTAACTCCAAGGCATATGAGTCTGAGTTACCATGTTATGGGACTAGAAAATGAACGAAGTGTTACTTTGTACGGCTGCTTGTTCAAAGTGAGCTCCACAACTGTGAGCAAGAAAGATAACGGCTCTGGGATTCTCAGGTGATGAAAGGCTCTGAAATGGTCCTTCACAGGCAGGGGTCTAGACAGCCTATTTGGGGTGTTGCTGTTGGCCCCTCTACCCACAGGATTGGTACTGCTGCTCCTTGCAACCCTAGAGTCCTTTGCTGCCTCTGGCTTCAGTTCTTTAGAATCCCCTTTCTTCCTGGTCTTCTGTGGTTTGGTGAATCCAAGTGTCTTCCTGAAACACGTAGTATAATTCCTTGCTTGACGTCATCCATTTGTTGTCATCCTCGAAGCTCTTGCTATGCCTTTCCATCATCTCTGCATGCATACTCTCTTCCCCCATGCACACACACCTGGGCTCTTCACACATTCATGACACGGTGCTGGATGCTTCTTCTCCCCAAAGGTGAAGGAGCCACGGGGCTTGGAAATCACATACAGGCTCAGCAAGTTCCCTTTGCACATGATGATCCCATGGGGACCATCCCCACTCAGAGGTAGACCTCAGACCCACCCTAATGCAATGCAAGGACACAACTCAGTAGAGGGAACCAGCAAAAAACCCTTAGTCCACGCACACGTTCTTTAGAAGCCTCTAGCATGGCTCTGTTTTTCAAATTACCAAAGGCTCATTAAGAGAGAACACTGACATTAGTACCACAGGCAAGAAGAGCTGACCTGCTTTTGTTTAATCCTGTGCACACTTGCTTCACAGGCTCCTGCTAGCACAGAGTGTGACCGGCACAAAGAACCCAGCTGCATCAGGGCTGCAACCCGGTGTTCAGGAAGTGTTCTCTGGGAATGGCAGGACTGCTCTGCAGTCGTGGCGTGGCGGGTATGCTTCTCCAGGCTTCACTGGCTTCGTAATGTGAACATGCACTCCCAAACTGCAAGGCTAACCTCTGGAAAACCCACCAACAGCTTCTGTCTTTCCCACTTGATGCTGCTCCGAAACACCAGCGCCCTCTGGAGGCAGTCCAGCAGCGAGGTTAGCGGCACGGGCCCTGAGGCTGTTTCTTCACTGTTGGCCATGGGCAACCTAACACCCATTCTGTAAAACGGAAGCTAAAAACCATACCCGCTTCACAAGGCTGGTCGTGAAAATTAAATTAGGTAAGGACTGTGAACGCCTGAGCACAGTGCTCAGATTATACCTTATACATTATATTTGCTTTGACAGCTTTTCTTTTCTTACTTTAGAAATGTTAGGTAGCACGAAAGGCAGTAAAGCTTCTTCAGGGCTTCAAGGGATCTTTAATCAGAGCCTTCCAGCCTTACCTCAGAACTGGCTCTTATATGTTCTCTCAGCTCTGGAGTTTGACGGAAAACCAGGGGAGAGTGAGGTTATAAAACAAACGTTAGCAAACTTTTCCTGCAAAGAGCCAGAAAGTAAATATTTCAGGTATTTAGAGGTCATGGGGTCTCAGTTACAAATGACCTCTGCCATGCAGTGGGACAGCAGCCACAGACAACACATAAACTGGGTGTGGCTCTGTGCCAATAAAACTTTACTCACAAAGACAGGTGGTGGGCCAGACTCGGCCCGTGGGCTGCAGTGGGCCGACCCGTGTCACAGAATGTAAGGAAAGCGTTTCAGGAAGAAGGGAGCGGAAACAGTGTCAAAAATTGGCAGAAAGGACAAGTAAGATAAGGGCAGGAAAGTATCATTAGATTCAGCAACGAGGGAATTA